CATTTGTTCAACAAATACCTCTGGGTGCTGAGAAGTAAGAAGCTGGGGGCATGGTGGTGCATATCTGTAATCCCAGCACTCACGAGGCTGAGACAGGAGGACCTCGAGGCCAGCCTGGGCTACATAGTGAGACCCTACCTTAAAAGAACAAAAATGAAACCAAAACCAAACAAATAAAAAACTCAAATCCAAACCAAGCCAAAACAAAACAAAAAAAGAAAAGAAGAAAAAAGACAGCTTACATCATTATTAGGGAACGGTAGTTGTGGGAGACCTCTGCCAAACAAATATGTGATTATGACAAGGTAGATTGGATAATAAGAGTTTGAGTACAGAGGCTGAGAAAGGCTTTCTGAAGAAGTGACAGAAAGGTGTAATATATTTGGGGAATATCAAGAAGTTCTATGTGACTAATGTCTGCAAACCATGGAAAGAGGTAGAAACTAAGGTAGAGAGGACTTGGAGTAATGGGCCTTGTTTCAAGCCAGAATTGTCCTCCAGGCTCTGTGGGCCACTGCACATTTTAAAACATCACAGTAACAACAGAAGTGACCTGTGGCTTTATGGAAGCTGGATCTGGAGTGAGGAATGACCTGCGTCCTTATGAGAAAAGAAGAAACACAGATGTAAATACACAGAGGAAGATGCAGGTGACACTGGCTTTACACCGCTGCAAGCCAGGGAAGCCAAGGATCGCTGAAAACGTCCAGAAGCTCAGAGAAAGGCTCAGAACAGATTTTTCCCTCAGAGCTCTTCAGAAAGAACTCAACCAATAGAAATGTTTCTACTATTTTAAGTCACCTGTCTGGTGGTAATTTGTTATGAAAGCCCCAGGAAACTGCCCCAGTGGGTGATTAATCTGACGAGAGACTGCAGAGAGAAGGGGCTGATAAGGATGGGGAGAAGGTTGGAGTCACTGTGTGACAGGTTATGGCTAAGGTGCCTGTTAGGCCTGTGATTGTTGCAGGTGTGGGACTCGGAGAGAAGGTGACTCTGCCACAGATAGGGAATGAGTAGCACATGACAGCTGGAGCTGTGGCTGGGAATATGATCACCAGATACAGAACCAAATATAGAAAAAATGCTGTAGAACATCCTAGTGTGTGTGGGGGAGAGGGAACCAGCAGAAATGCAGCTGGAGTAGGAGGATGCAGAGAAGTTGAGGTTGAAGACCATAAAATGAGGAAATGGTCAAAATGCAACAAGTGAATGAGAAGCCCAAAGACTGGGAAAATATCATGGTCACTGGAAACCTTAACAATGATTGTAACAGAGGTGATGGGAGAAGCCTGTTAGCACAGTGGCTTCACAAAGACAGAGATCTTTATTTTGTTCACTGATGTATCTCAAGGCCTTGAATAAAAGTAGATTTGAAAGAAATATTTTCGAATGAATGAATTATACTAACAGTGAAAGTTGAGGAATTGAAGACCTATGACTTTCTCAAGAAGTCTGAGTGGCTGGGTGTGGTGACTCATGCCTGTAATCCTAGCACTTGGGATGCAGAGGCAGGAGGATTGTGAGTTTGAGGTCAGCTTGTACTATATAGTGAGCTCCAAGCCAGCCAAAGCTACACAGAGACATTGTCTCAAAAAATTTAAAAAAGGAAAAAATGAAGGCTAAGTTGAAGGGAAGGCAGATGCCAACTCAACCCTAGGCATAAAGGAGTGGGGCAGATAAAATGGAGGTAAGTGATTCAAAACCCCCAAAGCATGGAATATTTAACATGTTTGCGACCAAAGGGGGAGAACTCTGTGGAGGGAGGTTGGAGATGCTGAAGCAAGAGGAAGTCACCAGTGGCGGGGCCACAGGGGAGGATAACATTGGAGGGGTAGCCTTCCTCTTCTGAGATTGAAAGTTGGAAACAGGACAGCTACTGTGTTAGATAAGTTTAGAAGTAAGCTGGGGCATTCAGTTCTATTCTCTGTTTTACTCAGAGTAGAAGACAAACTATGCCTAGCAGAATGTTTGTGGATGGAGACCATTTAAGATGAGTGTGGGCAACAGCTGGGGAGGAGGTCAAGACTGGGTTTAGTGGAAACCAATAGAAAAGTTAGTAAACTTTTCTGTGAATGCAAAAGTGACCAGGAGGTTGGCAAAAGGTAAACTTGACAACCACAGCAAGCAAGTATCTTGGTTCAACGAACCATGATAGACCCTTTTACTCAGCAAATTAATAAGAAAAATATTCCTGGGAAGGAACTGAGAAGTTGTCCTGTGAAAAAAGGAATGCATATTTTACTGGGGTTGCTCATGATTCTTGTTCCCAGATCCATCAGGTCCTGCTGGCTTCTCTACCTCAAAATCCTCTCTTCTCTCCAGAGGGGCCCCAACTCTCTCCTGAAGTTGTAAGCCATGGATAGGAAGGCTTTCAGGAGCTCTAGTTCAATACCCTGGGACTCAGCACTGCTGTCCTGGTACAGCCCAGGACAACCATGTTTCCCAGGTCAGAGAAGTCAAACCTATTGTAATTCCATAACCTAGTCCCAAGCATTTGTCAGCCTGAAACAGTTTCTTCCCCATTCACTGTGTCTAAGTCCCCATTCTGGGGGCCTCTGATCTAAGATCTTATTCTTTCACTTGCCAGACATCTGTTTCGACCTCCAGACCCTGGTTCTGGGGTATGGTCCTTGCTCTCACTGATAGACTTCCATACTGTCTGCTCACCCTGGGTATTTCATCACCAGGTAGACATAACTATTGATACTTAGAGTCAGACACATTCTAATGCTCTGGGTGAAAACCCTGATCATACTGAGGTAGAATTCCTGGAACCCATCCTTAAATATTTTGATTCAGGAAGGCAGGACCCAGGGAACCTGCATTTCAACAAGCCCCCAGTGACTTCAGATCAGTTAGTTTACTGGTCAGCATTTCAGAAACTCTTTCCAAAACTTTTGTCCTACTTAAGAAATACGTACATCACTTTAGTAATGAACTGTTTTGGAATGCCCATGTGGAAACTGAGACCTCCATTTTGGTAATTTCTCAGGGCCTTAAGATTACAAAGATACAGGGTAAAATAGGAAGACAAACAGTGTGGACAAGGTTCAAGGATGGGAGATAATGCAAAGGGATGCTTCCTGTCCAAATCTATGGCAGCCTGGCAAGTAGTATTTGAAAGAATGGCCACTGAGTCACATCACTAGATTCTTTTTTTTTTTCTTTTATTATTCATATGTGCATACAAGGCTTGGGTCATTTCTCCTCCCTGCCCCCACCCCCTTCCTTACCACCCACTCCACCCCCTCCCTCTCCCCCCCAACCCCCTCAATCTCCCCACCCCACCCAGCAAAAACTATTTTGCCCTTATCTATTTTTGTTGAGAGAGAGTATAAGCAATAATAGGAAGGAACAAGGGTTTTGCTGGTTGAGATAAGGATAGCTTATACAGGGCATTGACTCACATTGATTTCCTGTGCGTGACATCACTAGATTCTCATCCTGACTCAGCCACTTATTGGCTGGGCAATCTCTCTGTTCAGGTTCTACATCTATCAACTGAAATACATACAAATGTTTGCTATTATTCTTATTACCCTTCCTTTTGGAGAAAGAGACAAGGAGGTGCAAGAACTGGAAACAGGATATTTAGCAATGACCCTGGCCCCTACCCCTAGAAGCCAGTAGCTCTGTTCTTGACAATGTCTCTGGACAACTAAGTGTCCCCTGGGGGACAAAACGCTCCGTATTGAGAGCAACCAGGGAAGTACTAGGCTGACTGAGTTAGTCCAATGTTCATTATTATTAATATTATTGATAAATTACTAAAAGTAAATGCTTAGTAATGAAGAAGAGTAGGATGCCTAAATGAAAACCACACAATATCTTGAATCCTTAATGAAGGCAATAATTTCAACCAGTTAATATTTGGTTATAATAAATAAAAGCAAATATTCAAAGAGGCAAAATTGCTCAGCATGATATACTTGGCCTAATTGCTATATTTATCTAAGACAAACAAACAAAAACTGACCATGGTCGTTGGTAAAAGTGCTTGCCTAAACACAACAAGGGGATTGGAATTTGATCACATGATGGGGTGAGAGCACACAAGGGAGGTACGAGGATAGGCAAGAACCCCCCCCAAAAAAAACCAAGATAGCATTTGATGTCCTCAATGCAAAGGAACTAATGCAGAAAAAAAGAAAAAAAAGTGCTTGCCTATCAAGCATGAGGCCCTGAGTTCAAACCCCAGTGCCACCAAAAAACCAACACAAAACCAAAACCAAACAAAAGTCTTACCATGGTCCTAAACCCAGAACTCTGTAGGTGTAAAAAGAATGACCAGTCTACTGTTCTGACTGTACTGAGAGTCTATGTTAAAAATAGGTAAACCATTTTAAACACCTGAAAATACACAGTGCCTTTTGACCATACACACCTTAAAAAGTTTCACAACCCAATAATGTTTTTAAAATGTTTTTTTGCAATTTTCTATATTTTTCTAGGACATCTTGACAACCTCATAATTTCTAAAAACTTTTACAGTGAAATAAGATCCAATAGATAAAGAACTGAAAAACTTTCCGGTTTTATCATTAAAATTGTTAATTAATTTCTTAAAGTGTGGAACTTTTATTTTCAGAAGAGATGAGAAATCCCAGACAAATTTATTTAAAGTTCAGATAGAAGGCTTCAGGGGGAGATGGCTCAAACTGACAGACCCATCCTTATTTTGGTTTACAAACAAAAATTTCAGGCTCAAGAGGTAGAGTACCTGCCTAACAAGTGTGGACCCCTGAGTTAAAACCTAGTATCACCAAAAACAAGTCTTATATCACATTTGCAGTTAACTATATAACATTTAACATTTTCCCTTAAAAGGAAATATTAACCCACATAAACTGTGACATACCTTTAAAACAAAACAGTGGTCGGTGGGTGCTTTATATTTCATTTTACACTGAATCCCATAGTAAATATTGACATTTTCAAACTGTATAAAACATGCCAGATCCCGGGATGTCTGAAAGAGAGGGAAAAATAACCTCAAGTGAGATGACAGTTGATAATTTCTCAAGGTTCTTCTTGATGGCAAAACAAAGAATTCCATTTTAGTAGAGAAAACGTTGAAGTTTTGGATAATGTATATGAACATCCATGATATTTAATGCTCTCAGAGCCAGGTCTGTACACAAGATGAAAGACAAAGAGTGTGACCAATGCAAGATCCAGTGCCACAGGCCCTGAAATAAAGTGAAAGATGACACTGTTGTTCTAGCACCTGCCAACGACTCCCAGAATCAGAATCCACAGAGCGTGGGATGTCACTATGAATGCAATGAAGACAAGCTGAGCACCTAGTCAGACACTTCATTCTGGCTTTTGCCATTCTAAGTCAGTGATGGGTTTGGGACTGAACATTAACAACAACAAAAATCCCCCTCAGGATGAATGAGGAGAGGTAAATTTGGTGCTCAACACATTAGCACACGCTCCATGCTCTTTCCTGCTTTCTCTTTCCTGCTGGTGTGGTTGCCATGGAAACAGAGACCTCTTCTCCACAGATAATATGCTTGCGAAGATGGCAGCCTCTAATCTACATATTTGGTTACGCATCAATTGCGTTTCTTGTTCCATTATTCATTTTTTATTTTACAATTCTTTACCTACTGATTAAATAAGGAATAAAGGGCAGAACTGCCATACTGCAGTGTGCAATTATTCCTTTATAAATAGTGGTACAGCTTTTCACCTATTTTCTTCTGGATTTTTGAAGTTTTAATTACCAAATAATGCATACTCATCATAATTCAAATGTATAATAAAATGCACATTTTCCTTCATTGTCTGTTTTTCTTATTCCTTTTCAGAGGTATCACAGTTAACAGCTTGCTAGTATTCTCCTAGATGTTTTTGGGTAAACATTTATACAGTAATGATTAGATGCACCACTTACATACAAACACATACATACACAATTTTCTTTCAGTGCTGGGGACTGAACCCAGGGTCATGCATGGCAAACACTACCACTGAGCGACACCCCTCCCCCAGTTCAAAACAAAATTAAAGCACAAATGAGATTTTATTACATATACTGTTCCATAAGTTGTTCTTTTTCTTGGTATCTATGACAGGTCACATGAAAGGCCATATGGCATTCATTTTATGGCTGTGTAGGATTACACTGTATAGGGAAAGCAATTTATTTTGAACTAGCATTCTACTATAGATGAAATCAGAGATCATTTCAGTTTTTTTGCTACTACAAAAAATACTATGTGTATGAGAAGATATTTCTATGGGATGGATTGCCAAGTGTGCTGTGGCCATTTGGAAGGGTACTCCCTTTTACATTTGCATAAGTCTTATACATTTGCTCTACCAGTTTATATTCTAACTTTTTTTCTTACTCACTACCGCCAAAATTGAATATCAATATTACTAATTTTATCAATCACCTGGGAAGAAATGATATCTCACTGTTTAATTTTTATTGCACTAATTACTGGTAAGATAGAACAACTTTTACCTGATAGCTTTTCTCATTTCTTTTTCTGTGAATTCTCAATAAGCTTTTTTTCTTTTCTCCTTTTATCATTTTTACACTTACTTACATGTGTATACATTGTTTGTGCTACCTTCCTCCCACCACCACCCCGCTTTCAGGTACAACCTGTTCCGTCCTCTTCTCCTATTTTGTTGAAGAGAAAACATAAGAGATAATTGTTTTTTTTAAAACATAAACATGTTTTTTTAAGCATGTTTTAAAACACAAGAAAGATTGTTTTTGCTAGTTTTGGATAAAGATAGCTATACAGAGACATTCCTAGCATTGCTTCCCTGCCCTTATGTATCACAATCCACATTGTTCATCTTCAACAGACCTCTTCACTACTTCCTAGTCCCCTTCCCATAGTGGCCTCTGCCAATTTAAAATTACTTTATTAGCTCCTCAACAGGGAGCACATCAACCACATTCAAGTTTTAGGTTTCCTTTCCTTTCCCTATTCCTCCCGTGCATGGTCTCCCCTTAGTGTGTGACCCATGTCCAATAACATTACTGCATTTGTTTTGGGTCTATAATCCGCACATGAGAGAGAATGTGTGATTTTTCTCAATAAGCTTCGCTATTTTTTTATATGAGAATGTTTATCTTTTTCTTGTTGATTTGTTGAAGTCTCTTTTACTGATTTGTTGAAATCTTTGTACATTATGAATAATCATACTTAGTTATACACTATGCAAATGTAACTCACTGACTCTATAGCTAGTCTTAAAAGTCTCGTTTGGTATCTTTGGGCCACAAGGAATTTCAGACAACTTTATATAGTCAAATTTGTCAATTCTGTGCTTTGTAATTTTGAGTTTTTACTCTTAATGAAGAAAGCTTTCTCTACCCTACTATTATGAAATTATCAATCAATATTTTCTTCTATTTTTATACTACTTTAATACTATTTTCCTAAGGACATCTTAATAAACCTGGATTTAATCTGAGATGAGCTGGGAAATGATTTTTCTGGATTACTTTTAACACTATTTATTGAATACCATATTCTTTCCCCACCACTGTAAGTTACTGATTTTAATTTCCCTGTGTTGACCCATTTCACTTTAACTGTCTTTAAAAAAAAAATCTAATGTTTTGACCTCTGGTAAAAGGAGTTCTAGCTAAATGGTCTTCATAATTTTAGGGAGTCTATTTTGGAACAGTATCTCTTCTTAATTAATTTTAGGTCCAGTCTGTGAAATTTTAAGTAAACAGTCCTACTGAAATGTTTATAGAGATTGCATTGAATTTATAGAAAAATAGGAGGAGAATTATTATCTTTCATATAGCAACAAGGCACATTGCTACTTATTCAGTTCCACTTTACTTTCTTTGTAAAATTTTATGCTTTATGCTGTATACATTCTGAGCATTTCTTGTTAAGTTTATTGCTATGTATTTTGTAGTTTTCGTCTCTGGTATGCATGTAGTCTTTTCCATTATATTTAATTTCCATATCGTCTATATAAAGGAAAACAATTTATTTGTTCCTAAGAGTTTTTCAGGTGAGTGTCTAATACTGTCATTTTTTTTCTTTTATTCATATGTGCATACAATGTTTGGGTCATTTCTCTTCCCTTCCCTCCTCTAATGTTATGTAGACAATCATGTTAACTGTGAACAATGAGAGTGCTACCTTCTTTTTTTCCCCAATAATTACAGTTCTTATTCTTTTCCTTGACTTACTGGTTAATTCCTTCTTCCCAATGTTAATGAGAGAAAGTGTCCAACTCTAATGTGAACACTATTTTTTTTTGTGGGACTGGGGTTTGAACTCAGGGCTTCATGCTTGCAAAGCAGGCGCTCTACTGCTTGAGCTATGCCTCCAATCCATAATGTGAACATTTTGTAATTCATATGCCTCACTTATATTTAAGTCCAAGATGTAACAGTTCTAAAATAAAACAAATTATTTGTTGGCCAATTGTTATATCCCCACTTGGGAGTAGACTGGAGATAGCATAGATGGGAGAGTGTAACTTCTAAGATTGAGACCAGAGAAAAAGAGGCTAAGTCAAGCAGCAGCTGCTGGGCACCAAGAGTTACCCACAATGCCCTTCCTGCCTCCCACAGAGAGAACAGTGTCTCCTTACTAATGGAGGACAACCTGGACATGAACATGGGTTAATCTTTATCAGAGAGAGCTGCAACCCAAAATCATACCATTTGATGGTGCCCTGGATTTAGTTTACCCAAGATATAGATAAGAGATATATTCTAAAGCTTTTTAAAGGTTAATGAAAGATAGAAATGTCTCAACCCTTTAGAAAAGATCTAAGGAAAAGCCAATGGTCTGAATGAACATTTAAAATTACATTTCAAAGAAGAACTTATTACATGCTAGTAGATTTGAGCCAATAACCCCAGCTGGCCAAGTATAAATTAAATGATCTAAAATATTTCTGCTAAATTAGGTAGCAAAATGCATTCAGTACACATCAGAAAAGAATTTAAATATTCAGAGTTAAGGGCTAAAATCTCAACGAAGATCTTATCAAGACTTCTAACACCGCTGTGATTCCAGACAGAATAAGTTTTACTCATAATGACTACAAAACAAGGGTGCAGATACAGGGGACAAGCCTTGGTGAATAGAAAAGTGCTCCTACCATAATTTTTGAAATCTGACACATATATGTATATATATGTTTGAATTTTCCCATGAGGGGTTTCTGTAGTTTTAGGCTCATGAAATGCTTTCTTGCTAAAATAACTTTTTTTTTTCTTTGTGACTGCTGTAGTTTGGATCTAGAATGTCCCGCAAAGGCCCATTTGTTAAAGGTTTGATTCCCTGGCCTGTGGCACTATTCAGAGATGGTAGGGACTTCAGGAGGTGGGGCCAATCAGGAGTTAATGAGGTCACTGGGAGCGTGCCTCCAAGGGGTTGTGGGACCCTGGTCTCTCCTCTCTTTCTTTTGCTTCTGCCATACTGGTGCTGCCAAACCACGGGCCCCAAACAATGGGTCAACCGACCATGAGCTGGAACCTCCAAAACTGTAAGCCAAAATAAACCTCTCCTTTCTTAAAGTTGATAATCATAGGTGATGAAAAGCTGACCAATACACCGACCTTAGTCTTTCCTTTGGGTACATAATAAATTCCAGAAGCCCGTAAAAGAAAATAGCGTCTTTTCCAGGATTTTTTTCCATCTTCTTTCAAATAAAGAGCTCCTTCAAGTTCTGGTACAATGATAGATGTTCCACAGAAACTTTCCTAAAATTAAGATTCGAAGACATGAAACACATGAAAGATAAAAAACACACAATATGTACACATTTGAACAAATTTTCAAGTTAGCCTTTAAACTAAAAGCTAATTTTGTCTACAATCCTGATTCATGCTTACATTATATGCTATTTGCCAAAAGGAAGGAAAGTGACCACTGAGCTCGGAGACCATGGACCATTAAACCTCAGCTCCCTGACTTCTAGAAATGGAGCAGTCCAACTTCATGTCGGGGTTGTGAGTGCAATCCTGGTCTACTGTGAAAGTAAGCATCTACTAAGGTCTACCACTGTTGTTAGAACTCGAAAGATGGAGCAATTATTACTTTTAAGGTAAGTAAGAAAATTATTATTTCACTGCCGGTAAATAGAAAACTTATAATATTTCTCTACCCAAAATAAATTAATAATATATAAAGCATGATTTCTGGTGTATATTTTCATATCTCAAAACTTGCATAGAATTATATAATTCTTAACAAATTTATTTTTTAAAGCAGTGGAATAAAATTACATATTATTCTACTAAATCAAATAAACATTCAAATAAACATTTTTTTTTTTGGCAGTACTGGGTTTGAATTAAGGGACTCACACTTGCTAGTAAGGCACTCTACCACTTGAGCCACACCCCCCAGTCCTTTTGCTATTAATTTTTCTTTTCTTTTTCTTTTTTTGCAATACTGGAGCTTGAACTCAGGTCCTACACCTTGAGCCACTCCACCAGCCCTTTTTTTTTTTTTGTGATGGGTTTTTTCGAGATAGGGTCTTGTGGACTATTTGCCTGGGCTGGCTTCCGACTGTGATTCTCCTGATCTCTGCTTCCTGAGTAGCTAGGATTACAGGCATGAGCCACCAATGCCTGGCTCTTTTTCTAGATAGGGTCTCAGACCTTTTGCTAGAGCCAGCCTCAGATTGTAATCCTCCTCTCTTTACCTTTTGAATAGTTGGGACTACAGAGATGTGCATGGCCCTCAATTTTTAGCATAGTTGCCGTGTGAAAACTCATTAGGAGTTTCCAGAAAATCAATCATCAAATGAACTTCTGGAACATGCCCCAGTAGTGATAATGACAGACATCTGAGTTCTCTCTCTCTCCCTGAATCTCTGTGGTGATCCAATGTGAACTTCAGATACTGAATTTCAGGGCTGGAGGCATGGCTCAAATGGTAGAGTGCCTGCCTAGCAAGCTCAAGGCTCTGAGTTCAAACCCCAGTACCACCAGCACCAAAAAAAGGAAGAAACTGAAGTTCACATGAATATTGCACTTGCCCATTAGAACACAAACAACACTGGGCAGAGCCAAATCCTCCTCCAGTTAGGTCTCTAATTACAAATCTCACACTTATACCAAATGTGATTGCTGGAAGAACATCTCAGAAGATGCACAGATTTGGAAATCCTTACATCTGGCTTCCATGGAACACATAAGCAATGAACATATGGAAAGTTAGCAGATGAGTTTATGAGGATTTTTAAACTTGTTGAAATTACTATGAGAAGGGGACTAAGGTAGAGAGGAGAAAAATGGAGGAGATGAACCAATCTGGGATGCAGTACATATATACATGGAAATGCCATAATGAAACTCCTTGTATAGCTATCCTAAACAAACAGTCTTTTTTTTTCCTCCCAAAAATAGAAAACAGGGAGGCAAAACAGGTTCTGTCTGGGGGTTGGTACCAGAGGGAGGGTGGAGGATATAAGGAAAAGGAGTAGGAGGGTATATGATGGGAATATGTTCTCATGTATGCAAATGGAAAAATGAGATCTGTTGAAACTACTCCAGGAATGAGGGGAGAGGGGGTGAAAGGAAAAAGATGGAAGGGGTAAATTCAACTATGATATATTATAAGAACTTTTGTAAATGTTGTCCAGTACAACAATAACAAAAAATTTACTAACTTAACTTCATGAAAAGCAAAATAGATCATCTAATGCCACACTTTACACTTTATTACAACAAACTCAAGGAAACTGTAGAATTGTCTAAATAGCTAAAATTTAGTAATTTTATTTTAAAACCCTAAGTTAAAATTTCAGTGCATTTCCCAGGATTCTGCAATGTCTGGGGGAACAAATAATTTAAAAGTAGATCCAGCAAATAACCTTCTGTTTTCTTCCAGTCTGCAAAATGAAGCTTACCTCAAGTAAAGATTCCTTGTTCTTTGCATTCATTTTCTCATTGGTTTCCTTGCCTTCTTTTTTTCCTTTGTTATCCAAGTAGAAATTCTAAATAAATTGTTAAAAGATTAGATCAGTAAGCGTTCATATCTATGCTAGACACTGAAAGGAACTCACGGTTTTGCTGTAGGGAGACACACCTGTGTGGAATAAGCAGGAACCACAGGATACCTTATTAGTCAATCAGAAGTACTGAAGATGCATCAATAGGAAAGAAACAAAACCTTCCCTCTCTCCTTCCCTCCTCTGTATAGTGCACAGTCAACGAGAACGCAAGACAGAAAAGACCAGCACAGGGCAGGACATCATTTCACTGTTAAATCCCATAGTCAAGAACACTGGTAGTCCAGTGATGTCTTCATGTGCCAGAGGGAGCCTGGGGCTGGAGTGAAGGTCAAGCTCTTGTCTCCAGTTCAAGAGCGATGTACTGTGGTTGCCAGGTGACCCACAACAGCCCAAGGCCCAGTAGACTAGATATTCTGGCTTTTCAAGAGAAACTTGAAATCTGGATTTTTGTAAATATTGGCAATTACTTTTATTTTTTAAAAAATGGTGTGTGTCAATCATGATGCTGAGTTTGCTAGATGGCAACTTGTAAGGACAGTCAAAAGTAGAAAGGATGTTTCTGGAAAGAGACTGGCCTCAACAAAGGCAGATGACTTAAAAAAGACCATGGCTTAAAAGCACTTGAAAATGGAGGTGTCGTCTCTGGTTAGTAATAATCTATGTATCACACATCACTCATACCGAATACCAATGAGAGGCTAAAAATAAAGTATGTGAGTTTCCAAAAAATCATCAACACTTAAAGACCAATTTTTACATAATCAGTACAGCTGAGGTATCCATTCACAGAGTAAATACTGTGAGTGATCACTGCCATAAAGTGTTGAGGACTAGCCAGGCACAGGTGACTTAAGCCTGTAATACTAGCTACTTGGTAGGATCATGGTTTGATGCCAGCCCAGGCAAAAAAATTGTGAGACTCTGTCCACAGGAAAAAAGTTGGGTGTTGGTGATGTACACCTTTTATCCTAGCTATGGTGGAATCCTAAAATAGGAGGATTAAGGACCAGGCCATTGTCGGCAAAAAGCAAGACCTTATCTCCAAAATAGCCAATGCAAAATGGGCTAGGGCATAGCTCAAGTAGTAGAATGCTTGTCTAGCAAGTGCCAAGTCCTGATTCAAACCCTAGTACCATTAACAAAAAAGCATTAAGGACTTTTAGATGAGAACAGAGTTTTACAAAAAAATAAATGAATAAAACGTATTCAAAGCAGGAGCACAGTGACTAAATTAGGGACCTTTCTGAAACTAGACACAAATGTTTATACTATAGCAGTATTTTTCTGAGTGTGGTCCCAGTCTGCCTTGATGCTCAACAAAGTACATGTTCCCAGGCTCCAAAACCCCTGAACTGGAGACTGGGCAAGGCCTGGGAGTCTGTGCTCCAACATGCTTCCTGGATGAAAGTTAGGTACACAGAGTGTACTGGACAGAAACCTGGGAAGCAAACTGCAGCCCTGTAAAACCTACAGAATAAAAGACAGCTCCTAGAAACAGGATGCAGGAAAACATTGATTTGCAACCTTAAATAGAGGAACTAGGTCAAGTACAAGTCCCTTGACAATTCTTGTCTACAAGGAGTTTTCCTTTAATATGATTTTTGTTTTTTGGCAGTATTAGGGTTTGAACTCTGGGCTTTGCACTTGCTAGGCAAGGGCTCTACCACTTGAACCATGTCCTCAGCCCTTTTATCAATAGTTATTTTTCAGATAGCGTCTTGTATGTCCAGGCCTGGACTGTGATCCTCCTACCTTTGTCTCCCACATAGCTGGGATTACATGTGTGTGTGAGCCGTATCTCTATCTCTCTATATATTTAACCTTACTTGTCATTACACAATATACATGTGTCAAAACAATGCAGGGCACTTCACAAATATGTACTTTTTTGTGTTTTTATGTATCAGTTAAAAATGAACTTTCTGAAGTATGTTTAAGAATACTTCCTATTTTATTACTTAACTCAGTACAAAGAAAATGAAATGAATAAAATGAATGTTCTCTTGCAATTAAAAAAAAGTGGCCCACATGTGACAGACTATTGTGAAACTGTCCTGCTGGGAAACAAACCTTGATTTAGGGTCTTAGACATGGGAGTCATGGAATGAACTCAAAGAAAGAGAAGAGAATGTGGTGAAGACTCCACAGCACGCATTTTCATCATCATCTGAGAAAGAGGGAGCCAGTGTTGCCCTGTCGCAGGGCTTTAAAGGGAAGAGAAGTCTATATTGACACCTATCATGAGGGTGCCCTAAAGAAGCAGGTCTACAGCTATGTCTCTCTCTAAGAACTTTCTCTGACATCACACATTTGCAAACTTCTGAATGACATTTTATCTTCTAAGGACCAGTGCTACACTGTGTTCATACAGATTAATTTTTATTTGACAAATATCTGTGTGTATAATTGTGCAAATGGGATACAAGGTGATGTAGTGACCTGTGCATCTATTACACAAAGATTCAATCAAGCTAATTAATGTAGCCATCACTTCACCAATTTCTCATTTATTTTTGGGGTGAGAGTGACTGGTCTAAGAAGTGATCCTCCTACCTGTACCTCCTGAGTAGCTGGGACCACAGTCATACACCACCACACCCAGTTTGTTGGTTGAAATAGGGTCTTGCTTTTTGCCCTGGCTGGCCTTGAACAGCCATCTTCCCAATCCCTGCCTCCAGAGTAATAATAATAATTTGATGTTATTTTTGACATTGGAAAAGAAAATTGTTAAAGTACATAATAAGCAGCACAGTAAGCAAGCAACACTATATGAATGGACTTTACCATTGTTTCTTGGGAAAACAGATGCTTAAGGCTCTTAGCAACAAGAATGGCTAATGCTAATATTGGAATAATTTTCCATTGCCAGACCTAATCCTCAGTCCTTAGTTTTTTTTTTTGCTTAAGGGTAATGAGATTCAGGATATGTTATCCTCAACTAGCACATAGGCATCTGAAAGAACAACAGAAGAAGAGAAGGTCAGAGAGAACTTCTCCTGCCCTTCCCCTTGAAAAAGGCCATAAAAGAATTCCTGACCTTATTGTAAAGTAGATCAGAGATCCTAAAAATCCTCTGAGAGAGCTTTCCATTGTAATCCCAGAGGAAAGGAATGGCCCTATCCCTGAAGTCTCTAAATCCCCCTAGTATGTTGTCATTAGGTCTTACCCTTTTGTCTCCAGTCATACTTGACTGTCCATAGAAAACTCAGTTTTCCCTGTTTATTTGGTCTTCATTTCTGAAGACTTGTATTAAGTAAATTCATGTGCTCTTCTCTCCTTAATCTGTCTTCTGTTTTGGGGCCTCACCCATAAATTTAAGAGATGGGTGAGGAAAGAATCTTGTCTACCCTACATAGGCAATGTCATTCATCTTTGCACAGTGTGCTTTTAAAAGTTGCTTTTAGTAAGACAGGAATGTTCCACTGCCCCAAACACTTTCCCCAGAAGAGGCAGTATTATTTGGGCAAGAGGACCTCTCAGAGGAGAAAAAGTAATACTTTTGCTCTCCACTGTCTTTTGTTCTCTTCTACTAGTGATCAGGCCTAACTGAAATGCAAAATAGAAATATGGAGGAGCTTTTCTAGAGGTTCTCTCTTTGTGAAGCTACTTTTCTAGGATATTTGAAGCCCTGGGAAGCTTTGTCAATTACAGACAGCTAGAATAGTTAATGAACAGAATACGACCCCTCCTTTCCTCTTCCTACATCTTTGCCTATCAGCCTATAGTTCCTTTCATTTGCTCCCCACCTCTGACAACTTTGTCTTGGTGCTTAGGATTACAGAGCTGAACACCTTTCCTCAGCCCACTTCACTCACTGCCTCCTATGTCCCCAGGCACCCAGCCCGTGAAGTATGTCCCCATGTCACTGCATTTGTTTTGTCCTCTGCTTGGACCTCATTTCTTGTGGAATGCTGTTATTGCTTCTAATTTCATATTGTCTGTCAGATACATCTGCACTCTCTTGCCTATAATGTCCAGCAGACAGACCTTGGCCTTGTACAGTCTCCTCTACTGATTTTATTCCAGTTCATGAAATGAAACACTCATGAAATGTTTGGTGGCAATTCTTCAGCAAGTGTTGGGCATCTTAGGAGAACCAAGGGATTAGGGGATTTAAATTCTTACTCCTTAATTTCTCTTGGCCAACTTTAGGCAGCCTGAGGTTTGAGTCATATTCATGCTTCTCTGGTATCTGGCCTAAAACTTCAGATTATATGGCACTGTGTCCCAGATCAAAGTCTGGCTCAGACCAATTGTGAGCACCCCAACCCAGAGCACACTGTTGACGCCTTCCTGGATAGCTGCAGCCTCCTTTCATTCCTTCCTTTCTCTGGACTGTTCTCTCCATTCAAGCAGATAATAATGATAATAATAATAATAATAACAATAGCATTATTATTGAGAATTGGTAAGTGCTTACCAACATAAAGTACTTTGTGTGGATGATGGACTTTAATTCTCATAACACATCTTAAAAATGAATGATCCCCCTTTTCAAGCAAGGAAATAGAGACTTGGGAAGTTAAATAATTTGTTGAAGGGTCCACTGTTGGTAAGTGACAGAGCCAGGATTTAAACCTCACCAGTTTGTCTTCAGGGCTTACATTCTCAGCTATTCTTAAACACCGTTTTCCACTGAGAGACACTTTTTAAAAAAGCAAATTTGAACAGAAAACTTTTCCTTTTGTGAAGTTATAATTTGAAATCCTTGGCACAGTGTAGCAGGTCCTCCAATTGGGCCCTATGCACAGTTGTTTCTAGAATGCTCTTCATACTAGCTTCCCTGGGCCTTTCCTCCTTCTCGAACTTGTCAGATGATCTTGACTCTGGGCCTTGATAATCCTGGACTATGGCTCAGAATTCTCCCCTTCCTGCCTCTCCTGCTCATCTCAGTTCCCTTAGTGACCTTAAGAAATATCAGTTCCTCAGGAACTCATCCTTGATCTCAAATACTGAGAAAGACCCTTCTGTGGTGTGTCTCC